CTTAATGTGAGAGTTAAATCTACACATTTTGTGTCCAAAGTGTGACACAAAATGTGTAGAGGAAACAGGCTGTTTTCTTTTTAAAGACCTTCAAAGGTAAATAGACTTAACTTAATGAAAAAAAGGGATTTTATATTGCTTATACAAAAGGTTAGAACTGTAAAAAGTATGAATAAAAAAAGGAATTTATGGCCGGGCATGGTGACGCAAGCCTGTAATCCCAGCAGCTTGGGAAGCTAAGGCAGGAGGATCGTGAGTTCAAAGCCAGCCTCAGCAACTTTGCAAGTCCCTAAGCAACTAAGTGAGACCCTGTATCTAAATAAAATATTTAAAAAGGCTGGGGATGTGGCTTGGTGATTAAGAGTCCCTGGGCTTAATCCCTGTTGCCAAAAAAAAAAAAAAGGAATTTATAATAAATTGAGAATATTTAAACAATATTGTTAATAACCATTAAAAGGATGAGCAAATAAATGCTAGATAAATGTACATTTTAGAAAGGTAAGGTTCATCATCTTGGTATTAGACAAGGTAAAATTTAGGCCAAAAAGCATGAAAACAAAGAACATTTTATAACTTTAAGGCTACAATTCACAGTAAAGATTTTTGAAATCTTTACCTTTTGGTAAGTCTGTTTACCCAAAGACACAACACCACTGTCAAGAACTATTAGAGATAAGGAGAAATAGAAATATGCTAATAATAGAGTCTCAAGACACCTCTCTCAGCATAAGTGGATGAAAAAATTAGTCATAGAATCAATAACATAGATTTTACAAATGTACATTAAACTCCAAATCTACTAGTAAGGAATACATGTTTTCAAGTGTATATGGTGCATTTATAAAAAATATCTTTTATGTTAACCACAAAGAAAATGTCAGTTCAAAGTTATGAAAACTGTCAAGCAAAATTCTGGCCACATACAATAAAACTAGAAAATTATTTAAAAGTAAATATAGACTCTCCAGGTTTCAGTAGGATGATGGTGACTGCATAAATCCAAATTTCCCTAGGTATTCTCCAAAAAGAGAATATAGGACTATAAGTGTGCCTACCTAGCATTAAGTGAAATCATGGGTATGTGAGGAAGACAACACTGCAGTCCAGCAGACCAGCTCTGGAACCCCATGCACAAGTAGTACCTGAAGTGGAGACTGTAGAAAAGAGAACAGTGAAGCAGGACTAGCAGAACACAGATAAAATAATTTCCTCTTCATCTCCATCCTGAATAGGGAAATTCCGAGAAGAGGTATGAGGCTTGTTGGAGGAAAAGAACTTGAAAGTACTGTTTCTAGGAAGAGGGTACATTGAAGGGGCACTTTGTAGGAGCACTGAACCTCAAAATAGTGGAGGGTGGGTGGTAAAAGAGAAGGAAGTAGTACAAATTAAGGATCCTGCCGGGCAGAGTAACACATGCCTGTAATCCTAGCCAGGGCAGGAGGATCAAAGTTCAAAGCCAGCCTCAGTAATTTAGCTAGACACTGTATCAAAACAGAAAAGGCTGAGGATATGGCTCAGTGGTTAAACATCCCTGGGTTCAATCCCTGGTACCAAAAAAGAAAAAAAAAAAAGGAAGGAAGAAAGAAACTAAGGATCATGGTGAAAAAGAATAGAAAAAAAGATCAACCTCTCCTCTCATCCAAAAAAGGAATAACTGATGAAAAAAAACCCTAATTAGGTACTATGGAACTAAGAATACAACAAATCATCTAAATCCTTCACTCCTGTTATATACAATTGCCATCTGGCTTAAGAAAAATAAAACACTTAAAAATGAACAGAAGGTGGCAGACAACATCCATATAAAGTTACTTCTAGTAGAAAACAAAATGAGAGTCAAAACATTTCAGTTGATGAAAAGCTTCCCCAAACATTCAAGTATAGAGCTGAAGAAAACTACAGCACAAGGCCCCTACCTGAGTTAAATCCAAGCATTTGCAGAGATAAAAAGATTCAAATTCAAAACCCTGAAACAAATGGACAAGAGAAGAAAATGTGAAAAGTGAAATTATTATACTCAGGAAATAAATGAAACAGAGAAGTCACTCTTTTAAAATGAATTTAAATTTCAAGATAGTTAAGTGAGGAAAAAAATTTGCTTGAATTAGGGGCACCGAGAATAGTCATGAAGTCAGCCAAGAGAATGAAAATTAAATGAAGAAAGGTAAAAACAAATAGAAGGTGACTTTGAGTGTGTCTAGTGCTGGGAATTGAACCAAGGGTGCATGCTAGGCAAGTGCTGTACCACTGAGCTGTCTCCTCAGCTCTAGAAGGAAACTAATACAGAATGTATGTAAAATTAGATTTCCTAAGGGGGGAAAAAAATAGCAGACCTAATACTTAAACTAACATCCTTGGAAACATTCTAAACATAAAACTCAACTGTGACGGCTCAGATATGGGGTGTAGTTCAGTGGTAAGGTGCTTACTTTGTATGCTTGATACCCAACAACACACACAAAGAAAAAGCTCATTGTATACTGGGAAAATTGATCCAAAATGGTCAGTGCCAAGTCAGGTCCTAATAAAACTGTTGGACTTTTAACATAAGAAGATAAATTCCTCTGGACTTCCAAGCAGAAAGAAGAGGTTAGCAACAGACTTAACAACAACATACAGAGTAAAACAGCCACAGAATAACATAGTTAAAGTCTATGAAAGTATAAGCCAAGGGTTTTATAACTAAGTCTCATTCCAGAAAAAGCAAAAACCTGATAAATCCCAGTATATTAACCAAAAAAAAAAAAAAAGTATGTGATAAAAACTGTCATGAACAAAGACAAATGACCTCCAAAGGGGGAAATATTTGGATTTATGTCACCAAGAGCTAATCTCCTTAATGAAAACAACTTACTGAAAATCCAGGCAAATAAGACCATCAACCCCAATAGACAAAAGGACCAGCTGGGTGCAGTGGTGCATGCCTGTAATCCCAGTGGCTGGGGAGGCTGAGGCAAGAAGACATGACTTCAAAGCCAGCCTCAGCAAAAGCGAGATGCTAAGCAACTCAGGGATACCATGTCTCTAAATAAAATACAAAATAGGGCTGGGGATGTGGCTCTGTGTTCGAGTGCCCCAGAGTTCAATCCTTGGTACCCCCCCCAAAAAAAAAAATCTGAAAAGAGAACTCATAGGAAAGAAATACAAAAATGCTGAGGGCCATAGCCTAGTAGGAATGACACATGGCATTTTTTATTGAAAGGTGACACCAGCAAGCCATTGAGATGATAATGATTATGTTAAGATGTGCATTCAATTGGATATTAGACCCCTGCTGTCCGCCTTGGCCTGCTACTTTGGAGCTCTCCCGGGGACTCCCATTGGTTGGGGAAGTGCGGTAGGAGGGATTTCCAGAGGAGGGATTTCTTGTTGGTGTGGTGTGTCTCGTTCATGGCGTTCACGGGAGTTTTGGAAATAAAGTTTGTTCGTGCTTGAGTGGCTTGTGATTTTGTGCCCAGCCAGACTGCGACACAAAAATAAATAAAAGAAAAACAGAAATGCAGATAAAAGATGTGCCAGCTCCAGTTATACAAAGGGAAATACAAATTAAAGAATTAAAGCTATCCTAAAAACATTTCTCACCAGAATCCAAAGTTATGCAGTATACTTTGTAGATTGTGGGGAAATAAGCATTTTGATACATTGCTGATAGGGATGGCTACATAACCACAAACTGCATGGGAGGGAATTTAGCCAACAAAATTACATATGCATTTTCCCTTGGCATTGCCATTTAACTTTGAGGAATATGTTCTAAAAACACACTGAAATAAAATGTGAACTGTTTTGTATATAGTTGCAGCAACACTTATATTAGCAAAAGATGGGAAACAGCTAAAATGACCATAAATAGGGCACTGATTGGATGAACTTCAGTACATGTATGCAATGGAACAGTCTCCAGTAGAACCCTCTTTGTCCAGAGGAACAGGATATAGATTTAGAGGCACAAAGGGAAAGATACCAACAATGAAAGAGAGATTTCCCTAAATACAACTTGTTCATATTTTGACCTTAGAATTATGGATATTTTACACATTCAAAAATAAGATTAAATGAAAAGAAAAATAAAAGGAACTGAAACAAATTTATACAATTGTATAGCATTTTGGCAACACAGCCATAGAAGAAAAGGAACGATTTCTAGTGATTTTAGAACACAGATTTTAGAGTGTCCCTTTTTAGTATGGTGTATTCAGTAGGAGTATTTTGGTGTATTTCTATTTTTTCAATATTTATTTATTTTTAATATTTATTTTTTAGGTATAGATGGACACAACACAATGCCTTTATTTTTATGTGGTGCTGAGGATTGAACCTGGGTCCTGCCCGTGCTAGGCGAGTGCTCTACCACTGAGCCACAATCCTAGCCCCAAGCGTATTTCTATTTTAAAAGTATCTCATGTATAATATTAGGGCAAGTAAGTGTTGCAAAATGTTGACATGATAATTATTGGACAAAACCACAGAAGTTTATCAAGGCTATGACTTATAAAAATTTGGAAATCTTTGGACAGATTGAAATAAAGTGAAAATAAAATACAAAATTTCATGAGCCTAGGTTACATGGCAGGCATTGTGCTGGCACTCCTTTATGTGCTATCATTTGGTTCTTTTATATTGTTTGTTTTGGTACAGGGGATTGAACTCAGGGCACTTGGCCACTGAGCCACATTCCCAGCCCTATTTTGTATTTTATTTAGAGTTTCACTCACTGAGTTGCTTAGCACCTCACTTTTGCTGAGGCTGGCTTTGAACTCTCAATCCTCTTGTCTCTTGCCTCAGCCTCCCCAGCCACTGGGATTAATGTTTGCACCACTGCCGCCAGCATCATTGATGCAGCTACACATTGCCAACTACAAACCTGACAGGTTCTCTGAATAGATTCAGAGAGCTTAAGTCATTGCTTCTTATTATCCACTTACTTAGTAGGAGATTGTGACTTAAACCCATATCTATGAGATTCCAAAGCCTGTGTTTTTTCTACCACATTATTGCAGGATATACATCAAATTTTAAGAAGAAAGAAAATCAGGAGCTAAGGATTCTGTTTAAACCTATAGTTGCTGCTCAGAAAATAAGGATGCAGACTCCAAATTGTTGGTTTACATGTGCTTCAAGCAAGAGCAGTATACTAAAGGAGAGAAGTGTAAGTTTTCTTATTTCTGATATGAAAATGTCAGCACACACATACACATGCATATTTTGATGTTGAAAATAAATTTTACAAAGTTGTCATTGATGACTGAAATTAGTAAAAGATATTAAATAAAAACGTGGTGAAGCAAAAAAGAAAAAACTAGCAGGCTTGGGTTTTCTTGATACTGTTAAAAACTGGGGGTACAGTGGGGGGAAAGACCTGAAAAGGGCTGTGACACTTCAAAGGGTTTGGTGACATTTCAAAGTTCTTTCTTCTATGTTTTGTGCTGTAAAACAATAGAAAGATAAAAGAGCTATGATTTTACCAAACATCTAATGGGCAAAGAGCATCCTTGAATCTGAAAAGGTTTTGTCTGGAATTTTTTTCCCCTAAGACAAGATACTAGTTTAAATACGTTGTGTTCCTCCTGTTGGAGAAGTGGGCTGTGGAGAATTTAGAGATGCTAGACCTTCTTCACTCAAGCCAGCCCTTCATATTTCTACTGTTTTTTCTTGATTATAAATATATTTTTCATTCAGCCTAATGCTACTTTAAAAAAAAAATCCAACTCTTGAAATAATTGTGGCAAGGGTTTTACCTTGTTTTTATTCATTTGTATTTGATTATGATGGAAAATATTTAAATTTGTATCTCTGAAAGCAATGAGAGAATATGTTGGATTTATTTTAAAGATTTTCAAAATTTTGAAGATTTTTCTTTTTTGTCAGAAGCTGTGTTGATCAGTGACTTTGGTGAAAACTGAGATAACTGAAACGAATTTGCAGATGATACATGACTTCTAAGGTAAGATAATATAATAAAGCTCAAGATCACAATTATTGCCAGGTGTGGTGGTACACACCTGTAATCCCAGTGACCTGGAAGTCTGAGGCAAGAGGATCACAAGTTTGAGGCCAGCTTCAGCAACTTAACAATACCCTAAGCAATTTATTGAGGCCTTATCTCAAAATAAAAATAAAAGGTCTTTGGTATTGCTCCATGGTACAGTACCCTTATATTTCCCAGTACCACAAAAAAAGAAAAATAATCATAAAACGTAACAAGGGGAAAAATCAAAATACTATGAGCAAGAGCTAAACAATAAACTGTACCATATCTACAGAGATTTCAGCTATAATAAATATCTAATACATAAAATCAATATATTTGATATGTTTAATAAATAAAAGGAGTTATAAAACATAAATAAAAATAAGAGTCTAGGAAAGTGGCCTATGTTATTATTTCTTAAAAAGAAATAATAACATATCAGAAATGAAAATTATTTATAATAATAGAATTTTTAAAAATTAGCCAGGCATGGTGGCACTGCCTGTAATCCCAGCGGCTTGAGAGGCTGAGGCAGGAGGATCCTGAGCTCAAAGCCAACTTCAGCAATTTAGCAAGTGCTAAGCAACTCAGTGACACCCTGTCTCTAAATAAAATTCAAAAAAAGCCTGGTCGTGTGGCTCAGTGATTTAGTGACATTGGGTTCAATCCCCAGTACAAAAAAAGAAAAATTAATGATGGGCTAATCTAGCACATAGGCACAGTTAAAAAGAAGGAAACTATAGAGAACTTTATACAGAGAGAAAAAAACAAAATATGAAAAATATTGTGAGACAATCCATTCAGACTCCAGAAAGAAAACATGGAATGGATATGAAGCAATATAGTAACCATTAAAAATTTGCCAGAATAGATGAAAGACACAAATCCTCCAACTTAGAGAGCCCAGTATATTCCAAGTAAAGTAAGTAAAAAGATGTACATAGCCACATTATTGTTAAGCTCAGGTTGCACAATTGAGATGTGTAGATCACAACCCACACATTGAAAAATACTCTTATAAAGGTACTATTCAAGAAAAAAGCAAATGGTTCTGAAACAAAAGAAGAAATAGTAATTTCAGTTGGCCACATGAATAAATTTAAGAAGACAGATACAAAATAATGTCATATTTATGCTTCACAAATAAGGCATAATTATAATACTGTACAGGCCTAAATGGCATTTAAGCCATTAGAGCTTGATTGGAATTTTAGGATTCTAAAGTCCATGTATTGTGTTAACTAAAGGTATACCAATTTCAAGTATAATCATTAAATGAAGACAAACAGGATGTTTGTAGGGTAGAACAATGATTAATTTAAAAGAAGTCCAGAAATAAGTACTCATTTTTTTCTGGTGCTGTGGCTTGAACTCCGTCCTGCATGCATACTCAGCTACCAAGCTACACCCTAACCCAAGTATTCATTTTTTGTTTTACTTCTTTTACTTGATTTATTTTTAAATTCATCCATGTTGTTACTTGTATCAATAGATTGTCCTTTTTATGAATATAGCATAATTTGTTTATCCATGCATTTGTGGATAGAATCAGGTTGTTTCTGGATTTCACCTAATACAGAGAAAGGTACTATGAATATTCACGTATAGGTCTTCATGTGGGTATGTACTTTCTCTTCTCTAGGATGAATTTCTTTTTTTTTTAAATTTTTTTATTAGTTGCTCAAAACATTACAATGATCTTGACATATCATACATTTGATTCAAATGGGGTAATTTCTAAGGTTCAAATGGCTATGACATATGATAGATAGATATTTGACTTTTTAAGAAGCTACTAGATTATTTTCCAAAGCAGTTATCAACAGTAAATGAGTAATCAAGTTGTGGTATATCAATTCAACATACTACCACTCAGCGATGCTTATACCAAGTAGATGTATCTCAGAATAGTTACACTATGTAGAAGAAGCCAGACCACTCTCTGCTATTTTATTCCTCTTGCTAAAAATTCTAGAAAAGACAGTTAACATATAGTGACAGAAAGCATATCAATCAAATGTGGAGTATAGAACAAGATGATAGATTATGAAAGTACAGGAGAAATCTGGAGGGTGATATAGTCATTATCTGACTATTATTATTGTGGTGATGGTTCTACAAGTACATTCAGGTATGTCAATATTTTTCATGTTGTACATTCAAATATGTATAGTTTATTGTTTGTCAATTATTTCTTCTTTTTCTTATTTTTATTTTTCAATACCAGGAATTGAATCCAAGGATGTTTTACTTCTGTGCTATATCCCCAGTCCTTTTCATTATTTATTTATTTTAATTTTTGGTACTGGGAATTAAACCTAAGGGTGCTTAACCACTGAATCACATCCTAGCCATTTTCATTTTGAGACAGGGCCACGCTAAGTTGCTTAGGGCCTCACTAAATTGTGGAGGCTGGCTTTGAACTTATGATCTTCCTGCCTTAGCCTCCCCAGTTGCTGGGATTACAGGTGTGCAACACTGCACCCAGCTTTATTTTTTTATTTTAAGTCACAGTCTCACCCATTTCTGTGACTGGCCTCAAACTTGAGATCCTTCTGCCTCAGACTCTTAGGATTATAGGCATACGTAATTGTGCCTAGCCATTTACTTTTTAGGTCTTTTTAAAGAAAATAAAAGGGACAAGTAAATAGAGTAACATATCTTGATATAAACTCATGTGAAAGGCCCAAAGATTTGTTCCTATTTAGATTACATGACCTTTAAGTCTCTCAGTATGATTCAGTGAAAATATGAAGGGATCTTTAGTCATGTACTTCAGGAAACTTAACACCAAAAACCCCCCAAATAACTCAATTAATAAATGGGCAAATGAATTAAACAGATACTTCTCAAAAGAAGAAATACAAATAGCCAACAAATATATGAAAAAACGTTCAACATCATTACCAATTTGGGAAATGCAAATCAAAACTACACTGAGATTTCATCTCATACCAGTCAGAATGGCAGTCATCAAGAGCAAACTATAATAATTGCTGGAGAGGATATAGAGGAAAAGGAACACATTTACACTGTTGGTAAGATTATAAATTAGTACAACCAGTATGAAAATCAGTGTGGGGGTGCCTCAAAAGACTAGATATGACCACTCCTCAGTGTCTATTCTGAGGAATTAAAGTCATCATGCTACAGGGATATATATGCATGTCCATGTTTATAGCAGTACAATTCATAATAGCCAAACTTTGGAACCAGCCTAGAAGTCCATTGATGGATGAATGGATAAAGAAAATGTGGAGTTTTATTTGGCCATAAAGAAAAATGACATTTTGTCATTTGCAAGAAGTGGATGGAATTTGAGACTATTATATTAAGCTAAATAAGCCAAACTCAGAAGGTCAAGAGTTGTATGTTTTCTCCCATATGTGGAATCTAGAGAGGAAACAGGAAAAGAAAGGTTGGGGGCCAGTGAAAATCAAAGTGATATCAGTAGACGGAAGAAACCAGGGGAAAGGAGGAGGGTAGGGAGGGAGGCAGTGATATTGGCCAAATTGTATTATTACATTGTGTACATGTATGCACATGTGACAACAGATCCCATCATTATATACAATTATAATGCACCAATAAAAAAAGTAAGAGGACTAATAAAAAGAAAAGAATACATAAAGGGAGCAGGTGTGACATTCTCAATATTAAATGATAGGAATTATTAATTAGGATTTAAAAATCTAATAACAAGCAGATAACCTCAGGTGGCTGTCTATATCAGCTTCATCTCTATAGTAGAGATATATGAGACCCTGGGATCAGACAGTCCGTGAGTGTACTTGAATGGGCCAACCAGTCTCCTTCTAAATGACTCATTCCTCTTTTAAAATATATATGTCAACACTTTTAATTTAGATTATAGCTAATGTATATAGTCCTGGGAGCCATTTTGTCTCTTCTGTAACATTATACATGTCTATTGGTTTTCTATGGCAAATTTTATTGATAAATTCACCACATTCATATTATGTGTAGTATTCCACATTATTGGGGTTTTCTTATTCCCCCTGCCCGAAGTTATCCACACCATAAGGAAATTATGCAGTTAACACCATGAAAAAGGGTGTGTTTAGTTAAGTACATATTTCTAATTCTACAACTAAACTTAAATTAAATATTATAGATCAAAATAAATTCCAGGATGATTAAAAGGAAAATAAACATTACAACCAGTACCATATTTATCTACTTTGCAGTTAACTGAAAAAAAAAGAAAGAAAAAGAAAAGGAAAACCCTGAAGAATATTTTAGAGATTACAATATATAACATTTTTTGTACAAATAAATGTTAGTAAAGCTGAAATACAAAGGAAACAGATTAGGAGAAACATTTAAACTAAAATTAATATTTATGAAAAATAAATAACTCAAGTTTTATAAAGAAAAATTTCAAGACTCCAGTGGATTGGACTCCCTTGTCCAGTCCTGTGCAACACCCTCCGCCCCATCCCCCACCTATTGTGAGTCAGCATCCATATATTAGAGAGAACATTTGGCCTTTGGTTTTTTGGGATTGGCTTATTTCATTTAGCACAACAGTCTCCAGTTCTATCCATTTACTGAAAAATGCCATAATCCTATTCTTTGTGGCTGAGTAATATTCCATTGTGTGTATGTATGTATGTGTGTTTATATAAGTATACATATACACACACACATACACACACACACACACACCACATTTTCTATATCCATTCATCTGTTGAAGGGCACCTAGTTTGGTTCCATACCTTAGCTATTGGGAATTGAGCTGCTATGAACATTGATGTGGTCGTGTCACTATAGTATGCTGATTTTAAGTCCTTTGGATATAAGCTGAGGAGTGGAATAACTGGATCAAATGGTGGTTTCATTCCAAGTTTTTAGAGGAATCTTCATAGTGCTTTACAGAGTGGTTGCACCAATTTGCAGTCCCACCAGTGACGTATGAGTGTACCTTTTCCCCCACATCCTCGCCAACATTCATTACTACTTTTATTCTTGATAATTGCCATTCTGACTGGAGCAAGATGAAATCTCAGTGTAGTTTTATTTTGCATTTTTCTAATTGGTAAAGATGTTGAACATTTTTTCATGTATTTGTTGACCCATCATATTTTTTCTTCTGTGAAGTGCCTGTTCAGTTCCTCTGCCCTTTGCTCTTCATTGGGTTATTTGTTTTTGGTTTTTAATCCTTTTTTTTTTTTTTTTTTGGTGTTTTTTGAGTTCTTATATATCCTGGAGATTAATGCTGTGTCTGAGGTGCAGGTGACAAATAATGTTTTCCCATTCGCTGGGCTCTCTCTCTATGTTCTTGATTATTCCTTTGTTGTAAAGAAGCTTCTTAGTTGATACCATACCATTTATTGGTTCTTGATTTTACTTCTTGCACTTTAGGAATCTTAATGAGGAATTTGGTTTGTAAGCTGACTTGATGGAGATGTGGGTCTACTTTTTCTTTTAATAGGCATAGGATCTCTGGTCTGATGCCTAGGTGATCCCCAGTGTAAAAAAAAAAAAAAAAAAAGTGCTGGCTGCCTTTTGGTATATATTTGTGCTGCTTGCATCTAATTGGCTGAGTAAATTAATTTGAACTTAATGACTATGAGAAATAGATGTGTGTCTATAATATGTGTGTGTGTTTGTGTGAAGGTTCTCAAGATATGTATGTTTTGACCCATTAGACCTACTTGTAGAAATTTATCTTAATAAAATAACCAAAATGTGGTGGGAAAAAAATGAATTGACCACTTTTAACAGGATTTCTAATAAGGATAACAAATGTAGAAATAACTTGAATGTCAGTAACAATGGATTAGGTAAACTACTATAGGTTACTACTGTATTGTCAAAATCATAGTTCTTCTAAATGATGGTTGTATTAGTTAGGTTTTCATTGTGACCAAAACATTAACAAGAACAGCTTAGAGAAGGAAAAGTTTATTTTGGCTCACACTCGCATACGTTTAGACCATGTTGGACCGACTCCATTCCTCTGTGCCCAAGGTGAGGCAGAACATCATAGCAAGAAGTCTTGGAGAAGGAGAGCTGCTGCATTCATGGCAGCCAGGAAGCAGAGGAGGAGAAAGAAGAAGGGAACACAAGGGAAGAGACATACTTCCATGGCATAGCCCCAGTGATCCACCACCTCCAGCTATGCTCTGCCTGCCTACAGATAGACCATTCAAACTAGGGTGGACTAGCAGGTATGGTGGTGCAGGTTTATAATACCAGCAATTTGGAAGGCTGAATCAGGAGAATCAAAAGTTAAGGCCAGCTTCAGCAAATTAGCAAGGCTCTAAGCAACATAGTGAGATGCTATCTCAAAGTAAAAAATAAAAAGGGCTGGGATGTGGCTCAGTGGTAAAGTGCCCCTGGGTTCAATCCCTGGTACAAAAAAATAAAACCTCTGACACAACACCCCTACACCTATTATTTATGCACTTCATAGTTAGAGGTGTAAGCGGTGGTAGAGCCCATGTTAAATATGTATGAGACCCTGGGCTCCATCCCCATGCCTGTCCCCCACTTTTATATAACCATATATATAAAAGCTTCTGACTTATACTTTTGAAATGAAAATCAGTAGGTATTATGGGGTTTATTTTTATTCTTTTTCTTTTTTGTGGTGAGGGAGATGGTAGACTAATGTTTTATCATGAGGTCATCCCCAGCCCCAACTCTTTTGTTTTTCATAATCATTTCTCTGAATCATTTTTGTCTTCTGGTAAGTAATTTACAACTATAGTTACATATCACATTCTTAAAAATTGGCTTTCTGTTGGATATTGGAATTATAGTAAATCTGTTCATTAATTTATAATAATTAAACCTGTATTTAATTTATAATATACTATCTTTCTTGGTTAAAAAAAAAAACTTTAAGGGAAGATATTTTCTAAGGCAGAAGCTACAGATTATTGGTCAAGGGAAGGATGGTAAGGCTGTGCAGTTTTAGATGGACAGAAGTGTTGGAAACTGAGTGGCAAGCTGATGCCCAAAACAAAAGAGGGAGCTGGAGGTGGTGTGGCACCATGTCAATAGGCCAAGAATGCCACACTTTAAAGACATGGGAGGAAGAGAGACAATAGCTAGCCGGGCAGAAAATGGTCTATCAGGCCAAATTCATGCATGGAATGTAGACTAAGACAGTTATCATAACTGTGCACAAAGACTCATTTAGGGGATTTGTATGACATTATTTATGATAGGAAAAAAAGGAGGGGCTGGGGCTGGGGCTCAGTGGTAGCACACTTGCCAGGTATGTGTGAAGCACTGGGTTCGATTCTCAGCACCTCATATAAATAAATGAAATAAAGGTCTATCAACAACTAAAAAAATTAAAAGAAAAAGAAAAAAAGAAACAAACCATCTTTATGAAATTATGGTGTGTTTCTTCAAAGGAATGTTATGCATAGGGACTTAATAATATTGAGAGGCTGAATAGAGTTATGGAAGAGAGATGTTTTATTAGGGGCTTTTTTTCTAGATAGTAGAATTATATATTGTAGAATTGAGAATTAATAACTTAGTTGAAAGCACCTAGCATGTACCTAGCACATAGAAATCACTTGGGGAATGTTAGTTGCTTTTGGATGTCAGGTAATAAGTCAAGAGCTAGATTTTTTTGTCAAGGATGTTTAAAGGGACATGCAGAAGAATTTGAAGAATGGAGGAAGTCCAGATGACCCCAATCCTGGGCTAAAACAGAAGAAACAAGTAGCTCTGGCTACTCCAGATAATGGAAGCCCTTTGTAATTTAGGAAGTTGGAGAGAAAAAAGGAAGAGGAAGTTGGAGAAGGGAGTAGGATAGAGGAAATAGAAAGAAGAAAAAGGACTGAACATTAAATCATACATATTTCATACTGTAAAGTTGTTAGTACATCCAAATATTGACATAGTCTATTTACTTTTCTTTTGAGAAAAAAAATTTACAAAATATCCTGCTGGTATAAACTGGATTTATTCGACATTTGTATGTATTTCATAAAATGAATATCATATAAATTACTAAAGTGCTTATCATTTGAGTATATTTTAATATTCCTTATATGTATTTGACATTCACAATTTATCACTTCATTAGTATTTTCACTTTTAAACCATTAAATTTGGAATAATTTATTAGATAGCAATAAAGAACTAATGCATCATCCTGCTGCTACAAGGCTACAAGCCTGAGGACGGCTAAAAGGTGAGGGTAGAAATCAATTGGCCCTTAATGACACTACTAAGCTGTTCAACCAAGAACTTCCACACTTTGGAAGTTATAGGAATTATTTAAAAGTCCTTATTATTTAAATCAATGTTAGATGGATATTCTGGGTATTCTCTTACTTGAAGAAAAAAATGATACAAAGTGGTTTAATATATTTCTATATATTGATGTGTGGTCCACATTTCTCTTTATAGTTATTATCCAGTGTGTTGCCTTATAATCTGTTAACCATTTCCCTTTTGAACTGTTTCAAAAATTTCTTAATACAAATGGCATTGCTTTGAAAATCTTCTGTATTAATTGTTTCCTTTTACCTCTTAGGATTATTTCTGTAGGAATATTTCGTAAATTGTATTTTTGGGTGAAGAGAGGTTGAACACATTCATAATTATTATTACCAGATTACTTTCCAGAAAGTTGTAGCTAACTAATCATCATCTAATCATTACTTTTCCCAACCCCCATTTGTGATCTTTTTTTCTGCAGTTTTAGTTATCCTCGATGTGGTCCAAAAATATTACATGGAAAATTCCAGAAATAAATAATTTATAAGCTTTAAATAGAGTACCATCCTGAGTAACATGATGAAATCTCATGCTGTCCCGCTTGGTCCTGACTGAGATGTGAGTCATCACTTTATGCCTCATATCCACATTGTGTCAGAGTGCTTATTCAAATGGCCCTTATTTTACTTAGTAACAGCCTCAAAGTGCAAGAGTAGTGATGCTGGCAATTTTTTACAATATGTTGTTATAACTGTTCCCTTTTATTATCAGTATGGTTAATCCCTTAATTTGTAAATTAAGCTTTAGGTTTGTACAGAAAAACAACAACAACAGTATTTAAAGGGTTTAATACAATTTGAGGTGTCAAGCCACTGTGCCTCCCCTGCCCTGTGGATAATGGGGAGCTACTGCTGTAAATGTGCCTGTTTTCTGTAGTTTACCAAATCATTTTGCTAACATGGCTCTGCGTTTTTCTGTCTTCATGCATTTATATTCCTACTTGGAAATACTTCCTTGACAGTGCACAACTGAACTTTCATACCCATCTCCATTTAGGTATAAATAATATGTACTTTCACATAGGCATATAATTTTACACATGGATATTTTGCCTAGCAGGTTTTGTAATGATTTCTCCTGGTCTGTTATAATTCTTCCTGCAATTTTTATTTTATTAATTGTAGAAAAAATCTTATTTTTCATGTATTTGGATTTATTTTTCTTTTTATTTGGCACTCATAATTTTTTCCCTAAGATAATGTAAAATATTTTGTTTTATTTTAGCTGTTTTTGGAATTTTGTTATGTTTATGTTTTTTAACCTCCTGAAATTTATTGCCATGTATGTTGTAAAATATTTCAGGTTAATTATTTTCTAATATACAGTTGTCTCATTATTTGTTTAATTGGAATGCTTTGTTTTGTGAAAATTTAAATTCAGTTTACATCCAGGCACAGTAGCACACTCCTGCAATCCCAGCAGTATGGGAGGCTGAGGCAGAAGGATCATGAGTTCAAAGCCAGCCTCGGCAATTTAGCAAGGTCCTGAGCAACTAAATAGACACTATATCAAAATAAAAAAATAAAAAGGGCTGGGGCTGTAGCTCAGTGGTAGAGCGCTTACCTCCCATGTATGATGCACTGAGTTCGACTTCAGCATCACATAAAAATAAATAAACAAAATATAGATATTGTGTCCATCTACAACTAAAAAGATATTAAAAAAAAAAAAGAGCTGGGTGGCTAAGTGTCCCTGGGTTTTCTGCTTAATATATTCTTGTGGATTTCATCAATTGTAGCTTTAAAATGCTGTAATTCTGATGAAATTAGTTCACTGTCAAAAACTGCAAAATACATAATTTGGTATTCTCATTCTCTTATAAAATACACATGAAACTTATTTAGTCATTCTTGTTGGAACACATCTCCATATATTTATTCCTTTATTTAAATAATATATTCATATATTCCTGTATTTCTACCATTAGAGTTTTATGACTTTCAAAAACTAAGTATTCTGAGACATTAATTCTCAAGGTTTTAATATTTTGTTTTATTTTACACTGATACATAAAAATTCTATATATTAATGAAGTACCACATAATGTTTTGATATATGTGTACATAGCTCAAGAGTTATTTTATTGTATATTTTTTAATGGTACTGGGGATTGAACCCTGGATTTAGCACACATTAGGGAAGCACTTTACCCAGAACTAGATCCCCAGCCCCACCCTGTTTTTGTGAAATACCCGGAATTGAACCTAGGACATAATACCACTGAACTATGTCCCTTGGGCTTTTTATTTTGAGACAGTCTCAGTAAATTGTGAGATGGGCTTGAACTAGTGATCCTCCTGCCTCAGCTTCCCTAGTCATTGGGATTACAGGTGTAGGCCACCACACTGAGCTTCCTTATGCTAGCAGGCAGGCTGGCTGGCTGATTTATTTGTTTGATACTGGGAGATCCCAGGGGCACTTTACCACTGAGCTACATACATCCCCGTCCTTTTTATTTTGAGAAAATGTGTCACTACACTGCTGAGGCTGGCTTCAAACTTGCTGTCTTCATGCCTCAGCCTCCTGAATTACTGGAATTACAGGTATGAGCCACTACACCCAACTCCCCAGACCTTTTTAATTTTTATGTATTTTTTTGGTACCAGGGATTGAAACCAGTGGTGCTTAATCAGTGAGCCACATTTCCAGCCCTTTTTTATATTTTATTTTGAAACAGGGTCTCCCTAAATTGCTGAGGTTGGCCTCCAACTTTGTAGTTCCTGCCTCTGCCTCCATTCAGTTGGGATTACAGGTATGTCCCCATGCCCAGTTCAAGTTTTTAATAATATTTAATAATAAGCCTGATTTTTAAAGTTTTGAATTTACAGAAAAATTGCAAAGATAATAAAAAGTTTTCCACATATCCTGCAATCTGTTAATTAACTATTACATATTAACATGTGGCAATTAATAAACCAATATTTGAAAATTTTATCTTGTGTTTGTGTTATCTTGTAT